CCATTTGCACATAATACGAAAAACAGAAATGTTCATTCTCTTTTGATATTCACATGAAGCAGTAATAAATCATCTTAAACCAAAAACTGCTGACAAGATTAATACTGGGTTCAGTTCATCTATAATTTTCTTGTTGATGTTTAAAATTGTGTCTTAAGGGAACAATAAAGATTATATGACTCATCTTTGTTGATTTGGTTTCACCTTGAGCTTAATGCAAGAGGAGGACTTCAGAAAAACCTAAACTAAACCGGCAGGCTGTTCAGACAAGTTCAAGTAATACTCCATGGAATCATTATAAACATCTACACCGCCCCCCATTTTCCTTCCCCTGGGTTTTGAACTTTCTTATCACAGAAAACAAAACTAAAATACTCTGCAAGGTTGCTTAAATATCATGTTTGAACAGGAATACTAAAAAAAATGAAAAGTGAAAGTGAAGTGACGTGTAGCGACCCATACTCGGAATCTGTGCTCTGCATTTAACCCATCCAAGTGCACACACACACAGCAGTGAGTAGTGAACAAACACACACACATACCGCGAACACACACCCGGAGCAGTGGGCAGCCAATGCTGTGGCGCCCGGGGAGCAGTTGGGGGTACGGTGCCTTGCTCAAGGGTCTCACCTCAGTCATGGTATTGAAGGTGGAGAGAACGCCGGTTTTTCACTCCCCCCACCAACAATTCCTGCCGGACCTGAGACTCGAACCCGCGACCTTCGGGTTACAAGTTTGACTCTCTATCCATTAGGCCACGACTGCCCCCATGATAATATAGGGTCATTTTCTGGAAAAACTAAAAGGGAATTAAATACAAATTTCTTTTGCAGTAACTGTCATACATAAATATTTAGTACAAAAATAAGTAACTTGTTACTTACTAAGTCTGTCCAAGATTATGATTCAGTCTTAACTAAACAGCAAATTTTTAAAGTACTACACGGACAAAGAGAAACTAAATGAGAGAGAATAAAGGTAATTAATTACCAAATGAGATTAAAAACTGACTTCACATGACTTAGAGACTCGTGAAGTAAGTCCATGCTTATTCTGCAAAAGGTAAGGCAATGTCAAGACAACTCATTTAGATTCCAGCTATTACTTTATGGTAATGATTCTGCATCGCATAGTTTACATACTAGAGCAAAACTGCATTCGTTTGCCAGAAGTCTACTTAACATAGCTAAATATATGAGGGAACAGAAGATCCAAGGTCCATGAAATGAATTCAATTTAATAGAAAACTTGTTTTGAATGTATAACATTCTTCTAAGAATGAATTATTGCTTCATCAGGGCTGCCGGGACAAATTGTGAAATACTTCCCATTAAGCTGTGCCTCCAAAAGCAATAAATGTAAACAAATGTGTCAAATTCTAAATAAAAATAAAAAATAGATAGGACTGTTTGGTTAAAAAATAAAATAAAATTCTCAGTAAAAATACTCGTTGCTAAGTCTGCCTTGGGGTCTGGCGCTGAACTGAAAATGTATTAGTGATTGACCGATATTGATATTTTATAACCGATACCGATACCAATTATTTGCATGTTTATGTGCCTGATAGCTGATATGCAGAACCGATATTTATTTACTGTTATAAAGTAAATAAATGACTGAGTGAAGTAAGTCCATACTTCACTTTGGTTTTTCCTCCTTTCAGTCATCTTAAAAAAAAGTGTTGAAAATTAGCAGTCTTTCATGTTAAATTTAATCTTCACATTACAACAACAAAAAAAACATTTTATTTAAAGCATCAGCAGCAACACTAATATTAACAATAAGCAAAATAAATGTAGAAGGTCTAATGTTTTCAAATGGAGAAAATAAATACAGGAAAGGAGTCATATCAACTTCATTTTAAACTACAGTTTTAGTAGGTTTATAAGATGTTTAATAGACTAAAGAGTGAAGAATAATTCACTGGATAATGTTAATTCACTGAATAATATTCTCTGGAATATTGAAATAAGTTACGTCTTTATTGGGACAGGACTTGACGGATTATTTTACGTGACTCCGTGAGTTCGTCTCTATTTCTTCGAACCAAGTTGCATAATCTGCATATCAGGCATTTATGTAATACATCTCATTTGTGCATTAATGGCTGTTATGTTAAATAAAGTTTACTAACTACAGTAAATCAAGTACCCGTGCACACCGTTGTTGTTGTCTTGTTTCCCCTCAGATGCGCTGCAATGGTGATCCTGCGCGCAATTCTCAAAACATCCACAAGATGGCGGCGTTTATCTGTGAATCCGATATTACAAAACCGATATACGATTATTGTAAAACGCTTAAATATCGGGAAAAATATCGGTAAATCGATATATCGGTCGATCTCTAAAATTTATGATAATGACTGTCACAATTCTTCAAACTTCATGAGCAACTGTGTGTCACAGCAAGTCTGCAAAGACGACAACAAAAAGACCCTTTAAAACAGTGTATATCCTTGACCTGGCAGAGCTGAGGACTTTTCGAGGTTACTTGATCACAATAGACAAAAAGAGTGGATTGATGTCTGTTACATCTTACCTAACACTGCTTCCCTGTATGTGCCAAAAACAACACATAAACCAAAAGGTCTGAAAGACCTTTGAAAGAGGAAGGAAGAGGGGGGGGCCAGATGGGAGATCTTGACTGGATCATCTGAGGGGGTAATTCACCTCATAGCAACTGCAATGGACTCCATCCAGGACACTAATAACACTTCATAAAGGATTTCCTGTACACTCAACAGGGTGAAAAGGGGAGAAGTCTAATCTTAGTGGCCGCCCACTGCTCAAACTGCATATGCATTACAGAATTATATGATGGTATTTTGACATTTTGAGAAATTTGAGATTAATATTTTCAAAAATACTGCAAGTCACCACAGATATATTTACGAGTAAGTATGAACCAAATAACTAAAATGCACTTCGATTCATTTTTCAAATGTTTTAGTTTCACAATAATAGTATTGAACAGATCAAGGCATACCATACCATCATACCTCTATTTTAGATTGTTTCAACACAAGTGAGTCACAACGAATCATACCTTGAATCTAGGGCTGCACGATTAATCGCATGCGATATTTAATGCGCATCTTGTCAGAAAGCCGGTTCTGTAATCAGCGTAAATCTCCATCACCTGCGGGCTTTCACATTGAGCAGCATTAACTACACAGAGCCGTTGTTCACTGATGAGCAGCGCGTTAAATATCGCATGCGATTAATCGTGCAGCCCTACTTGAATCATAAAATCACCTGCTGCAGTAGATGAGTTTATTTGAGCCCATGGGAGGTCAGCCAGCTCTTGCAAAAACCACAATACCTGTATTTACCCTGCCAACCACAATCTTGTGTCTGTGGACATAGCACAATGACTGTTTTTCAGACAAAATTCTGTGCTTTGACCCCTTCGAGATTTCAAAGTCACAACAGATCTGTGGTAAAAGCAAAACTAGGAACTGCTGCATGCCTGACTTAACAAACATCTCGAAGCACAACACTTGAGGGGGTAAAATAATTAGCTGGGAAATTTCCCAGCAAGACTGTGCAACCAGTTATGCTTGTGTAACAAAGCTGCTTCCTGACGGTAAACAAACAACGAAACATTGTGTCATACATTTAATAGGAACAAAGATGAGCCGAGTCTGTTTCTAATTCCCAAGAGACTGACATTAAGCATAAACAAACAACATTATTTATATATAGGGAGACGGGTTAGTTTTCACAAGGGTTTTATCTCAGCAACTATAGAGTTTCAAGTCAAAAATATTTGATGGGATATTTTCGCATTTTACTGATTTGTCTGGTGTTTCAAAATTTTTACCATCTAAATGTCACCGAAAAACCTACAATAAGTTGTTTGGTGGCAGGTTACGTTGTGACAACTTACCCCACATGGCATGGCAATATGTGTTAAATGAGCAGTTTTTTTTTTACTGGAGCAAAAAGCAAGACAACTAGCCTTGGTCTCCCTATATTACAGAATATTTAATTTTATAAAATAGCTTTCAATAATTATTAGATACCAACTGAATTAATGTTTTTCTTATTCTAGAAGGAACCTTTAGTATTAGCATCACTACAGAGACAGAAATAATAGAAAAAAATTAGTGCTGGGCGGTATACCGGTTCATACCGAATACCGGTTTTTATTTTTGTTATGATATGAATTTTGAAAATACCGCAATACCGGTATATGTCACAACGTTCGGAACGCGACACTGTTTGAAACGGGTGTTGCACTGTGGTGAGGAAACAGCTGTATGTGTTACTAAGCGTGAAAGTTCCGAAACTGAAGCTGTAGAACTAATAGAACGTGAAGTCATGCATGAAAAAATATACCGTCTTGTACTGTGAAACCGGTATCATTTTGAAAAATACCGTGATATAAATTTTTGGTCATACCGCCCAGCACTAAAAAAAAATGGTAATTTATACTTAACAAATAAAACAAAAAATCAATGATATCTGATTCTAAATATTGTTTAATAACACGCAATGTCTCGTTGTTCAATATAACAGAGAGAGAGAGAGAGAGAATGAAAAATTACTTGCAAGAAAATCGTTCGAATCGAGTTTTTTTTTTTTTTTTACATTGTACATGCTAAGAAAAGATAGATTTGTTTTGGTATCAAATATCTTGATTGACATAACAGGTACGAGAAAAATGTGAGACTGTTTAATCGGTGGGTAATGATAAAACCTTGGCTTACCATCCCACATTCACTGAAGTCAGTGCTATAAAAATGTATATATATGTATTATTTATAATTATTCACCCTCACCGGAGAAGCAATATTCTGCTGAAGGGAAGTGCGAGAACCTTTCATCTAACAAACAGGTCAATTACACTTCTAGGTAACTGCGTGCAAACCAAAGGTGAATGATACACAACTATTGAGAATACTGAATGTAATATTTATGAGGTTATGCAAACACGTGAGGATGTTTTTGCCCTTATTATCAATGCAATCCCACCTAATTAATGTAAACCTCGCTTACCCTTCCATAAACCTTTGGCACGGGTGATCCAGCAGCATTCCGCCGAACGCGATGCTGGTGCGCGGATGATGAAGCCTCCCTGACTTCTCTCTCCAGACGCACGACGCGACTTTCTGCATGCTCCAGGTGTGCACGCACTAGGGAGAAACCCCTGTCCTGTGGTAGCATGAATCTCTGGTCATGGTGAAGTCGAAGCGTGGAGGAGATCGCTCCAGGAACGAGTAATAACAACAGATATATGGCACAGCGACTGAGCGCCAGCATCTTGCGTGTCTGCCCTGACGCCATGTTTGTGTATGTTGAATGCGATGTGTGACAGGGCGCCTCTAGCGGTCAACCGCATTCAGACTCATTACCATGGATACAGATGGCACATGATGGCACATGATGTTTTGTTTTGTTTTACATAAACTGTAGATTGGCAAGACCAAAATAAAGGATTGTTTCAGGGAAGATTTCACAGAAAGAACGTCTTGCATCAGCATCCCGTTAAATGTCCTTGACTGGGTAGACCTAAATGTAGCCTATGAATTAAGAAGAAGAAGAAGAATGATAATAATAGTAATTACAATAGTAATAATAATAATAATAATAACTCTTAATTGCTTTTTGAAGCGAAAATAAATTGCAAACTTCACCAAACTTGATTCCAATTTAATAAAAATAAAAAAAAAACACAAGAAATGGTTAGTGTAAAAAGGATCTACATGTATAAATAGCACAGGAGGTTTTTGTTCTGGTAAAATAGCTTATGTTTGGATCAGAATTGAAAAACAATTTAAAGCTACATAACTTGCTAAAAGGCCAAAGGTAAAAGGCCATAACTGGTTCTTCAAATATGGGAAACATTTAAACTTTTATTAAACAGATGTTTATATTATTATTAAAAACAAACTAATTCGTTTAATATGAACTCAAAACCTCGTTATTGTGTTTGTTTAGATATCCATGGAAATGTCACAAAAAGTCTAGTTCTAATACCAACAAATGTTGTGCCATTTATGGAGTATTCTTTATGGAAAATGGATTTCAAAAATACCTGAAGACAAAATTCTTTATGGAAATTTTTTTTTTTTTTTAATACCTGAAGACAAGGGTTCCGAAAAAAAAACATTCGGCCATTGCTTAAGCTTTAAATCAAAGATACGACCACAACAGCCTTATAATTACATATTTTGCAAGATCTTTTCATCACCTCTTGAGCTCATCGCCTGGTTTTGAGTTCAGTTGTCCAAAACCCCCATCTGCTGGTCAGAATTTGTAAAGGTATTATATATTTTATATAGGCCTAATTTTTCCACTAATAATTGCTGCGGAATAATCAGTAGTAATTGGTGTCCGCTTACTATGAGTTGTAGGCTAACCTCAGTACTAGACTACAGTTGCGCATGTTTTCTGTGAGCTCGCGATTATTGACAGTTCAAAAAAGCGGCGGTTGGTAAGTGAGGTGAACTGAACTGCGGTGAACGAGTGACCAAGTTTATCGAAGGTTACTGATTTTTTGGTATTTACTTTAGTTAGCCTAATCAAACAAGTAGTATTCCATTATTAACCCTTTTGGCAGAGATATTGATTTTGTGTAAATAAATTGAAACATTGTTTAAATAAGTGTTATCACTTCATTTAATTGAAAACGTCAAACACGTCAGCTCTTGCGTTGGCTAAACTTGTGGCGACAAGTGAGATCCATGGACAAAAGATTCAGTTATTGGAATAAGTTCAAAATACCCAGATGTTTGTCCTAACGTGAATTATATTTAAGAAGGCTTTGTTAACTTCAAAGTGGGAATATCCCAGATAGCACAGGTACGTCGCGGAGACGTCTGTGAAAGATCGTAGCATCTGGTAAACATCGCAATCGATCGAACGTTTTCAGTTGTTAATGAGCCGTCTTCTTTACCTCTATACGACGTCTATACGATGAATCTTCAACATCTGAAATTACGTGCTGATGCACACATCGCACAGACGTCCCCGCGACGTACCTGTGCTATTTGGGATTATCTTGACAAAAAATATTACGCCACTTTTCTTCGGCCACAGGCGTGTATAATGACACAACGCAGTCTCGAGAGGCACTAAGGAGGCCGTCAGAGGAACAGAAATGAAAAGGTCTCAAGCCAAAATACGTGAGGTGAGGATTTCGAGGTCATCATGAATTGAATTAATATCATCACAGAAATCTACGGTCACGAAATATCAACCAGTTGTTCACTTCTGTGGTGTCTTGCTAGTTATTTGTCTGATTTCTAACTGATTTGTTTACTAATGCTCACAAATGTACATGTAGGTTGAAAATGCACCATTTTCGGAGACTTCTCCAGCAAAAAAGATAAAGGCACAGCATTTCAGATCAGCAGCTGGAGACATGCCTTATGGGTTTGAAGTAGCATTAGCAGGCAAGTCTTGGTTTTTCTAATATAATAATAACTCTCTTTATCAATTATTTGACATATGAGAGGTTGTATTTGACAGCCATTTAAGTTACCTCATGTTTTAAACACAACAATTATTTTTCATGAACATTCCCGTAGACTTCAACTTGTGAGGCATGTTACTCAGTTTTCTGTATGTCTTTTCATTTTAGATGCTAGCCGAGAGGTCATTGTCCTCTTTTCCGAGTACTCCGAGGTCTTGATGTAACTGGATGGATTTGTATGCTGTGTCTCATCATCAGTAATAGATCTATAAGGCAGGGGTGTGGACTCGATTCACTTGACTCGAGACTTGACTCGGACTCGAGTCCCAAATTTGATGACTTGCGACTCGACTCGAACTAATTAAAGAAGACTTGAGACTCGACTTAGACTTTGACAGCAAGGACTCGAGACTTGACTTGGACTTGAGCCCTGTGACTCGGAAAGACTTTATGATCAGATCAAAGTCGTTATAGACGCGTCCCTGCAGCGTTGCGCTTGACTGGCAATAAGCCAGAGACTGCGTTCAGGGAGCGCTGGATAGGCTAGTATAAATTACTGGAGTAATAGCATAACTTAACGACAAAAGAGAACAGAGATCATAAAAATAACAAATTACATGATTCGTCTAGTAGCGATCTCCGCTCGTGAAAAGCGCTGCCCTGTCCGTTTGATCGCCGCCCAGCAGACACACCCCAGACAGCAACATAGTGTTGGCCCAGATCCGGCCCACATCTGGCCCATGTGAAATCCATGCGGGCCAGATGTGG